ACAGCTGGCTCCTACGACAACAAAATAATCATGTGGGATATCGGAGGACTGGACAAACATTGCAACTTCAAAGTCATGTAAGTTTGACTGAATGAAGTTCTTTTATCCCAAAACCATTTCTCTGGAACTTTCTCAGGATTTTATGTGATGGATCAACATAAAGTAGTGTTGGAAAAGGAAACGGGACATAATGAATTTGATCCACATCTGTTAACACGGTAACTATTAGTCATGCACTCTATGAGGCTGGCATTTTACAGAAGACTGGCAAGAAGAAAGACTTCCTGTCTGCAGTTTGGCACAAACCTAGACCAAAACAGAGAATGGCAAGAAAATCAACCCAAATTAACCCTTCCCTCTTTGAAACATGGCTGTAACCGTGTTTCCATCAGTTTTTTATGCGCATTTTGAAGCATCACATTAGAAAAAGTAGATGGAAAGGGTCAAATTTGGAATAACTTTCCCAATATCACAAAAAAAGTTTTCACGCTTGTTTGATGTGGTTCTAGGCTGTTCTGAAAAAGAGTTAATGCAGTAAAGATGAGATGGAAACACATTTACCGATTAAGTTCTGACATAAGGAATGCTCCCATCCACTGGTGGGTCTGCACCTTACCAGAGGCACAAAACCTCCAGCGCACAGAGGAGTCTCCATCTTTCTGAGGTGTATGCCAGTTCAGAGCCATGCGTACCTTTAACATTTGAAGGAATTTTGCTTAGCGTGGCATGTTTGAATCGCTCCGAACTGGAAGATGGAAACATGACAAATTTGCATTTTCCTTCTTTGCTCAAAATTTACTTCACAGTTGAATGGAAACACAGCTACTGATTAAATCTTGGTCGGTTGTAGCAAATTTTCCCATCAACAGATCCACAGATTAGAGATCCTTCCTCATCCATCAGGATAGGTAAGGATCATATCCCCTACTCCAACATCTCCCCAAGTGTACAGCCATACAGAGATTTAAAGAAGAACTGCAAAAGCAAATGAGGTGGATTAGCAGAGCTTGCCAACAACTAATGGTGTCATCCAGGACAAGTTGCTGTGGAATATCCTCTGAGACTGTCATACAGCAGCAATATTCAGTCAGAGGCCTCATTAGATTCGTTGGAGGTCTAACTGCTACTGAAGGTTCATTCTTCTCAGAGTGACTATTTGAAAATACTTGGATGATATGAGTTAATTTCACTCAATAAATAAAATGATTTGAACTGAATTTAAAGTGTTGAAAGATCCGAACCAGTCCAGGTGTTTTTAAGGGTTTCTCTTGAACTCCCTACTCGTCCTCCCTCCAGTCAGCTGTTGACGCTGGAGGTCGGCACCACGCCTCTGCACATCTGCCTGCCGCCAGCCTCCCCAGACACACACCTGCTGACGGCCTGCGAGGACGGCCTGTTCTGCTACAACACACAGCTGGGAGGCAACAGCACCACGAAAAGGTGAAGGAATTTTAGAGGTTCTAGGATTAATCAGGAAACACGTTGCAAATCTCCATGACGACCAGTCAGCACTGATTATTGTTGGGTTTTTCTTATAAGGTCAAACAAAATGGAAATAACTTTCCCCATTTACAAGATGGAGGACAAACAACAGAACTACCACACTATCGATGGGTTGAGTTTTCTCACTGACGATGTAGTGGGTAAGTTAGATTTCTTTATTATCAGATGTAGTTCTGGTTAAAGACCACATGATGGTGCTGTAAGATGTAAGTAATTACTTCTTAGACAACTATAAATGGTATTTATTGTTAAATTTTATCCTGGTGGTTTGAGGTTCCGAGTTTAAAACACAGACTTCTCTTGTTTCTTTTTGCCGCCTGCCTATGGGGGGCGCTACTCCCAGCCTCTAAGAGCCACACCCACGGGTCCATTTACCTGTGGAGCTGGAGCGGCACCAGGAGTCAGCGGCCGGACAAGAGGAGCGGGTCGGTGTGCGCCGTGGTTCTGGCTGAGCTGCAGTGGGCCATCACCGACGTTCCCTACCTGTCTCTGAACACCTGCCCAGGTGAGTTCTGCTGGACCTGGCCGGATGACCCGTCTATTCGCTCCTGGGTTCCTACCGACTGGAAAACTCCAGAATCTGATTAGAGTTGAGATCTGGAGAGGAAAACAAAGGCTGAAGATAATGGTTCTGTTGGTCTCAGGCTTTTTCTCAGAGATTATACCCATCTAGCTATCCATACATTTGTTTGTCCAAAAATGTAATTTTAACATCTTAACTGTGTAGGATCCCTGAATAACGCAGTACATGCACTCTCTTTGCCATCGAGTGTCTTTATCTGTTTGTTTTCTATCCAGTTAGATTGTTTTTAATGTGTAACTAATTTTTTGGCAAGCCTCTTCAAAAACTACATCTCAGATTTCTCCAGCTCTTCAGGTCTGACGTCACATAATGCAATCATTAGCAGGATGCTGTAGAACCTGTAGAACCTTCTGTCATGCACAGTTAGACATCAGCCCTCGAGGACTGGAGTTTGACATTCCTGATTTATTTGGTTGGCTGGATGTTTGGGGCCGGCTGCTGAATGTTCCCGGCTGTTTGTTTGTAGCAGAAGCACTAACTTCCTGCATGTGTCGTCTTCAGGACGGGCCTACATAGTTTGTGGTGATGACAAGGGACAAATATGGACTTATCACGTCACCAACCTCCAGAAGAACAGCGGTCAGAGAGGGGAAACCATTCCACCCACTGAGGTATTTCATTTCTACTCCATTTTTTCCTTCTTTCTCTCTCTGTCTACCTTGATAGATTACTGTAGAAGAGTCAGAAGGATAAACATCGCTTTGGGCAGAACAGTTGGTGCTTAAAGTAACGATATGCCATGCAAGCTAGTGGCAGAAATCTGAGAAGATGGTGGCTGGACTGAACTGGACCCAGATGATGAAAGAACTCATTTTGTAAACAAGCAGGATGTAAACAAACCATCTGCAGGCATCTGTTGACTGCTAAATGTTATGTGCAAAAACAGATGGTTATTCACATTTTGGATTGCTCAGATTACAACCCATAACCTAAAAAAACTGATGAATAATAACAAATATGGATCTACTGAACAGTTTGTCCAGGTATTTTACGGTCAATATTTGGTCTGAGCTCCTTTTACAAGAATTACTGCAACAATGTGGCTTAGCATGGAGGAGGTCAGTCTGTGGTTTTACTGGGATGCCCATGAAATGCAAACTTCACTGTCATCTGAAAACAGGACTTTGGACCACTGAGCAAAAATCCAGTTCGTTTTTCTCCTGATCCTAAGTGAGAATTAACAGCTGTAACCAGTCTTTATCTTTGGCCGCACTCCAAACATTGTGAATCTGCCCCTGAGCTCTTCAGTTAGCTTTACTGCAGCTTTCCCTTTTGCTTTTGCACTGTTTTCTACTGCACTTTTTCCTTTCACTCAGTTTTATACCTAGAGGGGTTGGCATCGCTAACTAAAGTTAGTTGTGCTAACCCTAAAGCACCAATAATAAATTTTAGTTCTGCTAATGCTAATGTGGTATTAGCATAAGCTAATGCTGAAGCGCTAGATTCAATCATGTTGACACACAACATGTTCCACAACATAGTACATCTCCAATAATGAGTCATATTTGTTACTGCACACCTAAGTAGATGGTTTGCGCTTCAGGAAGTGAGTTTTTTGGAACAGACAAAATGTTGTTCATGTTGTCAGTTTTGTGGTTGTTGAGTATTGCTAACTCTGTTAATAATTTTGCCAAAATGACCATGAATATAAACGTCTGACTACTTGAAGTAGGCATGAGTTTTCATGAGCTGTAATTAAAAGTAAAAGAAACAAACACTTTAAATATATCACTCTTTGTGGAATTTACCTGTTTATAAGAAGCTTAATTGTCTTTACTGAATTAGTCAAATTAATGAAGCTTTGATGGTATTCTAAATTGAGCTGCACCTGTTGGTATTAATGGACTTAGTCACTGAATTTCATAAATGTCTAAGAAAATGCAAATATTTGACATCAGACAATTTTAACATTTTAATTTATTTCAAAAGAAGAAATAACGTGAAGAATAAATCTAATTTTAAGATATTCAATTTGCTCTCATGCGTTTTCTTGTTTCTCTAGGTGCTAGAATGGCCGACCCTGATGAGGAAAGGCCTAGGTCGGATTGAGGGCCCCTCCATCAACAGTGTGGCGATGGACCCAGAGCTTTACTACCTGGTGGCACTCACTGATAAGAACTTGGTGGTCATATGGAAGAGTGAGGTGTTGTCCTGAGGAACACGAAATGTACCTAATTAGCAACAACTTTCAAGCAGGGTTTCTTCTGTCTGAAAAGAGACGGTGTTCAAATTTTCTTCCAAAAGATGATTCAGTGATCTGTTGGAACATCAACATTTTATCCAGACTGCAAAGATCTTCATCCTTCCTCTTCTTCTTTAATGTCTTCAGGAAGTTGGCATGCTGCTCCCCATATTCAGAACGTCTAATACAGTTACAGATTTGCTCTCTGGAAGACAATGTCAGCTTGCTTTTTTTATAGCAGTTTTATAGTTTTTACCTGCTATTATTGTATGCATAGTTTGGTCAAAATAAAAGACACAAATTGAGATTTAAAAATGTTTGCAGAAAATATCTGTGACTCAATTGCTGTTCAAAACTTAATATTAAAACTTAAAATTCTCTGTGAGAATTGCTTGGATTTTTGCATTTTTATTTCTGGTGACTTTGCAGTTACAACATGAAGGTTTAGTTTGTGTGAGCTCCTCCTTGTGCTACTATCGCCATCCAAAGAAATGCTAACTGGCCTTAGCATTCATGACAAGCTTTACTGACGGGGAGAAGAAAATGTGGGAAGGAGCTTTAGACATTGTGTTTATACTACTGTTTGTCCATATTACATGCCGTGCAGAGTACAGTATGTGCCGTTGTGAATGGGGCGTTGATTATACTGAGCTCCGCCTCTGACTGACTCGCTGATTGGCTGAGCTGTCTCGTCGTTACCGTACATCTTTGACCTACTGACCAATAAGCACAGAGGCCTTTCTGTACCCTGTGTCTACTGTATTGAGATCAGATTCGTGCCTTTGTGCGCAACGACACAACCCTAATGGCTTCATAGCAGCTGTAGAATTCCGTTGTTCTGCACCAGGAACGGGCCAGTCCTGTTCGAGCTTACAGCTCGTCTCCAAATGCGACCGGGACTGGCAGGCATAGCGGCGGAGATGCTGAGCGGTGTCACCGGCAGGGCCAGGCCGAGAATCGGCAGCCTCTTACTGACTCCCGCAACCAAAACATTACCGGCGCTGCAGTCAGGCACCGGGAATCACAGATTCCGGTCCACATCATCAGCACAGGGTGTCTCAGAACTGGCAAGAGAGCGGTCGAAGACTGTCACTTCCTTTTACAACCAGTCCGCCATCGATGTTTCGGCAGAGAAGGTGAGGAGTGGATTATTATTATTTTTTGCTCCCTGCTGATATGCGGCGGCGAGGGAGTGTTAGCGCAAGCCGGCTGGAGCTGGCTTGGGCTTGGTGAGCAGAGCTAGCCGTTATAGCACCGTCGGTGCTACATTCAGTGAATGAGGAAATGCAGAAAATAATCATTTTTAGTTCGGACTGCTATCTTAACTATCAGTTAAGGTTGAAAGCAAAAACTACATCTATTGTACTTTGTTATACAATAAAATAATTTGCTTACATAAGTAGTTAAGCGGTTCAACCTCGCCTTCTTAAAGCCAAATAGGAAAAATGTGATTTAGACAATGAAATAAGCGTATGGCTAAATTTTATTTTTAAAAAGTAGATTCGACAATGTTTCCTAATTACAGTACTCTAATTGGAATACATATTACTCATACAAATTGAATATATTTAAAAAATATCTTAAATTAAGAATCAGAACCGTTACGTTACGCTCTGATTTCCTCGGTTGTCTGCGCGTCCTTGAATGCAGCATCGCGAGGACAAAATGTTTAGCTAGCTAAACGATCTACTACTAATTAATAGTACCAATGGTTGATGAATAATGGTGGAGAGCGCGAATCTTTTACTCCAGCAAAGCTCACAAGAGTGGAACAATTTTGTGTTATCAGCGTTATCAGCTGAGGAAAGGTTAAGGTTTCAAATTCGGAGATTGAATAACCCAGTTATTACTAGAAAGTGAGTGCCTTTGTTGCTTCTGGTGGCTAATCTGACCTTTTGACCCTCTTTGAATTTTCATTTCGATTAAAATAGAAGTGTAAATTAGTAGTCCGGCTAATTTCAGGATTAATTAACAGAAACACCTTCAAGTTTGATAGATTAGTACATCTATTAGTCATAGATGTACTTTTTTTTTAACATAAGACTCAGTTTTTTTTTCACAGTTGTCAACACTTTTTCCTTCCTCTTTGTTCTTTGCAAACTCAGATGTTTTAGTTCCTTACACTCAATCATTTTCAGTCAGGCTCTTACCAATTATCTTGTTATAAAGTGTTTTTTTAGTGTAAAAACAAAACCCCAGGTGTACTTTAAATTCTTTACATAATATCTGTGAAAGTTTAAAGATCTTCAGTTTCTAAACAGTGAAGTTGAACAAACTTTAACTTCATCATTTAACTGGACATTAATTCTGCAGAGCAGTTCCCAGCTAAGCTCTGGTCACCAGACAAAAGGGAAAGCTTGAAATTGCTATGTGCATTGCTGTGGTCGGACCAGGAGAAACTAGGTCAGATTGTTCCTCCTGACTGTCCTTCACTTGTACTTACAAGTTTTGCATCTGCGTACACCTTGCCAAGAATTTTTTTTCTCAGGTTCAAATTAAGGTAAAGAGACACAGCATGACCGTTTGTCAGTAAGGTGTGCCTGCTGGGACTCATTTGTTGTTATGAAGGTGAGATCCAATCTCTGGGGGAAGCAGATGTAGCATGACTTGTCTTTTTTTTGTTGCTCTCTAGATCAGTGTTTCCTAACCCTGGTCCCCGAGGCCTTTCGTGTTTTAGGTGTTTCTTTGCTTCACCCTAGGTGATCTCAATTGACAGGTGTTTAGTGAACTGCAATCAGCTGAATCTGGCATATTGAAGAAGGGAAACATCTAAAACTTGCAAGATAGTGTGCATTGAAGACCAGGGTTGGGAACTGCTCTAGATAAAATCTTTTTTGCTACAAATTTGCAGTGCTGTGTCCTTTCAGATTTTTGCCGTTTTGGGTTTTGTGTTGCACCAAAATGTGTCAGATCAAACAAATTTTGATGCCTGACTGAATTAACCAGAGTCAATACAAGACGTAGTTTAGTTTGTTACCAACCTGCCCTGCTGCTGCGAAGCACTTGAAAGCAACAACTGCTATAAAGTATTTGCGATAACTTGAGTTTAATTGAGTTTCTTACATCGTTGTGCAAGAGCGGTGCTTCCATCAATGTTTGTTATGTTCGTTTTTAAGTATCTCATTAGAAAAGGTTGATGGAAATGGCAAAATTCAAGATAATTTTGCAAAAAGGTTTTTACGCCTGCTTGAGGGGGTTTGGGCTTTTCTGAAAAAGAGTTGATATGTTAAAGGAGAGATGGAAACACATTTGCTGAATAAGTTCTGAAAAAGCTAATTTTCTGAAGACTGGGAGTTGATGGGAGTCACGAAACCTTGAGAAAAATCTAATTCCCAACTTCAATCTCGCACGGGAAAACTCTCCATTTTTTCTGATATATGTGGTCCGTGCTAGTTTGCAACCTCTACTTCATGTTTATTACAACCATATAGAACTTCAAAATTTGACGAAACTTTGCGTAGTCTGGTTGATTTGCTTCACACCAGTAAATGGAAGCACAAATATTTCATATTTTACTTTCTTTTTTTCCCTTTTTTGGCGACAGTTCAAATGTTTGCTCAAAATTCGCATTACAACTGGATGGAAACATGCTGTAGCTATTGATGAATTGTGGGAGTAGTCTTGGTAGGTCGGCCTCTGCTGTTAAGATTCCGTACTTTTGCCTATTTTCTCCATGTGTGTTGAAGGGCCTCACTGCTGTTCTCTAACATCCCAAAATCTTAATAAATTGTTTTTTAACCTTTCCAAACCGATAAATGTCAATAAATTTGTTCCTGCTCTTGAATTTCATTTGATCGGGATATGATGTGTTGCTTTGTAAGGTTTTCAGTCTTCTTCATGTTGTCACACCGCTTCTGTTTAAATAATCTCTTGATTTTACCAGCCTGGCAATAGTCAATTACGTCTTTCCTAGTTGATGTATGATTTATGGATTGCAGGCAATAACATTTTTATTTTATGTTCTCCTAAATTATAGACAGCCATAATTAATCTTTTAGAGTGTAATCGCAGGAAGCTATAATTTGGTGAGCAGTTGCTGAAGAGTTTTATCTTAGCGTGTCCCACATTTTATGCAAGAGCTTTCAGGATTTTCTTTTCCCCATTTATATTTAGAAAATTATCGATTGTGTAAATCAAAATAACTTAGAATGAGTTACTTTAATTGGATGTTGAAGCCAATGAACGAGTTTATAAGATTGCTTATATTATCCAGTAATCGTTCCTTATAGATGCAAGCAAAATACACTCTTACTTAAAGTTTTGCTTTTCATGTTTAATTAAAATAAAAAACATGTTGTTTTTTATGAAAAACAGATTTTAATTGACTTCCTTTGTGATTGTGTCTGCAGGCCTCAGTGCGGCTGACCTTAGCGACCCTCCTGTATTCTGGGAAGTCTCCTGATGGACACCACATCTTGGTAAACACTTCACCCACGCTGAGAGTAAATCATCTAACCGCAGTGCCTTCATGCCCTGCAGCTTCTCACTGTGTGTGTGTGTGTGTGTGTGTGATCCCAGAGCAGTGCCAAGTACCTTCACAAGGAGTTGCCTGTGCGGATCGCCCATCGCATCAAGGGCTTCCGCAGTCTGCCCTTCATTATCGGTTGCAACCCGACCATTCTTCAAGTGGTAAGGACACACTCCTGTAGAAACTCCTTTGATAAAGTCAGTATTTTACTTTTTTGAGCTAAATATGAAGGAACCCACTACAGCTGAGGTTATAATAAGGACTGGGGCTGTCCTCATGAGTCAGTGCTGAACTTTGACAGACCGGAGAGAGGTGTGGAATCACTGGTGGAAGTTTTAATGAAGTATTTGGGTGAAAAGACTGAGAGGAACATGAAACTGTCAATCATTTAAAATTCATGACAGAAACACAAGCTGTGTTTCCATTTAACATTTCGAAAATAAATCTACTTAATAGAAACTCCACAATTTTGCATTACACTCCCATTTTTATACATAAAGTTTTTGCATTAGGTTTTTTTCAGGTGTATCTAAATCAGTGGTTCTTAACCTTTTTTGAGGTTCCGACCCCCCCAGTTTCATATGCGCATTCGAACCCAGGTTAAGAACCACTGATCTAAATTAATGTATTTCGCAAAGCTGCAATAGAAACACTTTTTTCGAATCACAACCGGATGTTACTACTGACAGAAACCACGAAAAAGAAGACAGGAAGTGGTAGGATGACGATGGTGTGGCATGTTTTTTAACAACTTATCACGTGAAGAAACTTATTCATGTGCGATTTTAATTGCATTTCTTTTTTAATGGAAACGCCATTGAAAAATTATGTCTTTTTGATTTTAGTGGAATATCAACAAAGTTTTGCACACATAATGGAAATCTATATTCAGAGACAGACAAGATTTAGTAAATCTAATGTCTGAGAGTTAACTTTACAAACAAATAGAATTCAATAAAATTGATATTACTGGCTGAGATAACAGCGATGCTAATAGATCTGGTTCAGAAGTTCCTGCTTCACTTGGGCACAGCCGGCCTAAGGTATAAGGTAACAGGGCTGCTCGAAGTGGCCAGATTAATTATTATTAGTTCTAGCAGTGAAGACTGTGTGCCACTGATTCAGTGAGGTACATTAAGTCTGGAAAATATTGAATGTATTTTCCTGGTCCTGCTAAGTGTGGAAAATAGTTATGTTTTCAGTCTTTGCTCCCAAAAATTGATGGAAAACTTGATTTGAGTCTGGAAAAGCAATATCTTGACATTTTAGAGTAGAAATATCCCTTATTGTTACATTCAAAGACATAAAGGCTCACAAGAAAGATCAAAAAGTGTTTAAAAAAATATATAAACAATATTAATAATAATAGCATACTGTACAAGATTATAACATAAACAGTTTTGTTTCATTCTTTTCATATCAGAGAAGTAATATTCTGAATTCAAATGGGATTCAGTAATATTGCGTTTTTAATTGTTCATGCTGCAAAATGAAAACAATCCAGATTTATATTTAAATTTTAGATGTTATTTTCATCCAAATAGAGAAGATTCAGTGCTACAGAATCCAACGTTTCTGCTGAGTCTCACTTCTTGAATCCAGCGCCTACAAATATTTATTACTATTACATGGTTGTTCATAATCCCAACGTCAAAACATGACCCCATTTCCGTGACGCTTCTGATGCAGCAGTGAGGTGTTGTAAATCAGACGCTAGAGCCAAAACAAATGAGTAAATCAGAGGCATAACCTGTGTGCTCCGGGGTGTAACGTTTCACTAACTGCTGATCGGAGCTGAAACATCCACCACCGCTACAGGTTCACCTGGCCTGGGAATGAAGGGCCTTCCCACTGAACACAAAAGTTCCGTGCTAGTCAGGGTTTTCCAGTTATTTTGTGCTGACGTTGCTGATCCCACAAGAGTGGAGGAGCTTCTGTCTTCACCTTTCTGTGGCAGTTTACTGCCCTTTCTTTCCTTTTTACATCATTTTAACCACATAAATGTTTGGTAAGGTGAAAAATCAAGACAGAAAGATAAATGCTGTGTGATTAGATTTAGTTTTAGTTCCTGCTGTTCTGTCAGATCCTCTGCAACAATCCTCAAACAAACTCTCCTGTTTGAGAACAAACAGGAGAGTTTGTTCTCCTTGCTCCAGTTAAAGAGACTTCATGTTGATGTGTCAACGCGTCGTCATGTTGACACGCTGTCAACATGACGACGCGTTTGCCTGTTGTCATGTGGACATGTTTACATGTTGACATGTAGTTTTGTTGTCGCGTTGATTTGTTGTTGTGTTGCCATGTCATCGCGTTGCATCAAGACGTAGCCTTACTCATTAAAGTCCAGGGTTGAGTCGGGGACACGGCAAACATATGGAACTGAAGGAAACGTGTGGAAAACACCGGTCAAACCATCACAGTGTCCCACTAAAGGTACCCCACCCTGAGTGAAACACAGTGGAGGCAGCGTCATGCTGTGGGGATTTCTTTCTGTAGCAGGAGAGCTGAGTTGATTGGAGAATGAAGACAAATACTAGAAGATGAAAACTTACACAAAAAACTTGAGACTGAAAGGTTCACCTTCCAAAAAGTTCTAGAATAAATCAGACATTAATAACTTATTATATTATTCATTAGAATGGAAGGTTTTGACAAATAAAGCCTTAAAATAAAAAAAAACATAGATGCAACAAAGTGTGTATTTGTTTACTAGGTTTCTACATTAATCTTAATTTCAAAATGCTTCAGAAGAAACATTAATCCAGGTCTTGTTCGTGTTGCAGATCCTAGAAAAAAAAATCTGTAATGTTCTATAGATTGATTTTCAACAAAAATTGGACTATTTTGGATATCTGGTTAGTTTATTATTGAGCAAATAAAAATAAGAAAGGCACAATTTATTTAGTCTAAAAGTTTTATTGAGAAATAAATATTTTTGTGGACACCCAAAAGGGCTTTCAACTTGATGATTTGTGCCCTCGTGGCAAAAAGTTTGGACACCGCTGGCCTAGTCAAAGCTTTGACATAAATCTAGATGAGAATCTGTGGAAAGACTTGAAAATTGATATTAAAAATATTCTCCACCTTTGCCTGAGGTTTAGCTTGTTGATGGATTTTTGAAAAGTGTGAATTATTTTCCTTCTGCTTCACTATTATGTTCCATTTTTCTTGCTGATCTCACCTCATAAGAACCCAGTAAAACACACTGAAATTTGTGGTTATAATGTGACAAAATACAGGAACATTTTAGGGCTATGAATACTTTAAGACAAGGCACATCTTTAAAGGTTGTAATGAGGCCGTTTCATAATGAATCCGTTTTTTTTCTTTTTGGCTGTAAAGTTGGGTGCCAGAACATCCAGCGGGAACACATTGTTCTTGGAGGTTGAGATTAAACAGGCAGCATTCCTCTGCACAGGCTGCACAGCCGCTCTAATCAGCCAGAATAAATGCTTCTGTGGAACAGAAAGAGCTTTTTGTGACATAAAAGCAGAGTCACCGTCTCTTCCAGCCAGTTTTCTCCCTCTAAGCTCTTCTCACCGTGTCGATGAACCTTCACCCAGATTCCTCATCTGGTTGCATAAAGCCCGGCTCCTTTCTTCATGCAATCAGAAGAAATGGAGGTCAGCTCAAATATCTGTTAGCAGATGAATTATAACTGTTACAAAATGTTATTTACACAGAAAGAAAACAGAGGAGGATTCTGAGAGCTTCTGTAATGCGACCCATGTGAGAGTTTGTTGGCGTCGCCGTGCTGTCGGTTCTGGTCATGTGACTGAGATCCGTCTCTTTTGCTCTTTCTTGCAGCATGAGCTGTACATCAGAGCCTACCACATGCTCAGCGACTTTCCCCAGGTGAGTGTCACGCAAACAGGAAATACTGCAACGGCACACGGTTTGGGTTCATGAGTTCAAGTTCAGCATTTCTCAAGGGAAGGAGGTGGGGAGGGCGGGGATGTTCAAAGTGCAGCCTGCGAGCCAATTTTGGCCCTTTGCATAATGTGCTGTGGCCCCCAAAACCAACCACGATTCAGTAGTTGAGCAAATCTCACCTGTAAGCAGGTAATTGATGCAGATTGACTTTTTATGATCTTTTTGACATTTTTGCAGATAAAATTGTGTTTAAATAAAGAATAATTTAGGCACAAAACAACTTATCGCTTATTAGCAAGATTCAAGCAATCATCTTCATTTTGCAGTAAATTGAACCACAAACATTGAGCAACTGTCCCTCAGATTTGGGTGAAGAAATCAGTCTGATTTACAAAAGTTTAGTTTGTTGTTGAGGAGATAAAAGTAAAACGAAAACACAAGAACTTTATTTTGATGAGTATATTTTTTACTTTATGTTTATGGCCCGCAAGTGCTTTCAGGGTAACAACTTTGGCCTCCCTGGCAAGAAGTTTGTACACCCCTGTTACAGATTATTTGGTTTAACCCGTCATGGACTAGTGAAGCTAATCTGCTTCCCTCCTGTCTCTTTGTGAAAACAGCTTAGGTGGTGCATGAAAACCTTTTTACATTTACGTACAGTGATTTATGCATTTTTATGCATTTTCTACCGTTTGACTATTTAATTAAAATTTTGCATGCTTAGCTCACTGTTGAGCAAGTTCAAATACATTGTTTTATATAGTTTTTTAAATTTTAGTTTTTAACAGCAAACAAAAAGTACTTTTAACCTGACAGTTTTGGCCTACATGATAAACCACTGCAGACCTAGGTGAGAAGCTGTGTCTCATTTTTACTCCAGTCTGCCGGTTAATAAGAATTTTGTAGATAAAGTGCCAGTAAAAAATATTCATCTCTTTGAATGTTTCATCTTTTTTATTTCTCTTACAAATCAGTCATGATCAACAAAATTAGGCTTTTCTGACAAAAAAAGTTTAGAAAAAAAACCGTTAATGCCAAAATAAAAATATTTATGGTTAAATAAAAAAATGCAACATAAAATGTGTGAGTGCATAAATATTCACCCCCTTCAAGTTGGTATTTAGTAAATGCACTTTTGGCTGCGATGACAACATTGGTCAGTATTCAGGGCCTTAGAAATTGTTTTCTATCCATCCCCTGACTTTGCACTACGTTTCAATAATCTTCTCTCTGATTGGTCGAAGTTTTTCTTCTTGCTGTATTGGCAGCCATGAATACTGGTTCCTTTTTACTGCAGTTACTGCAGACAGTTACTGCATTCAGGTGATCTCCGTTCCACTCAATTTGACTGTAACCACTAATTGGCTGGACCTCTGTTGAATTAAAGGAAGTGGATATTTATTCAGTCACTTACTGTGTTATTTTGTGTTATTATGCAGAAATCAAGTTTCATTTTGACATTAAAATTGTTTTTCTTTTTGTCAAAATCATTTTGTTGCTCATTGTTGATTTATACAAGCAGTAAAAAGCATAAAACATCCAAGGGGGTGAAAAGTATTTATAAACACTGTAGTTTACTTTAAAAGGCAAAAAGTTCAGCTCAGTATCACATCCCGCCTTGAAAAAATGACTATAGGAACAAAAAGGAATATTTTAAGCACACCTCTACAGATGGATCTTTACAACCACTTTAGATGTCATCATGTAAAACAAAATTCCTTGACTGAAGGAAATCATTTTCAGACTCAATGTGAGGTTTGTTTCTGTGGACAGATCAAGGACCAGGAGGTCGAGGCTCGTTTCTGTAAACTGGTGCAGCAGCTGCTGGACGACCACAAAGACGTGGTGACCATGCTGGCCCAGGGCTTCAGGGAGTGTCGACGACACATCCAGGCAAGAGATGCACTCTGATCGTTATCACTATTTACTGGAGTAATTATGGTTGAGGGTTTAAAGAGACAGGAAGACCAGGAGCCTCGTCAGTTACCGTTTCTGTTTTCTCCATCATCCAGGATGAGACCATCATCAGGAACTTCTTGGATACGACGCTGTGTTCCCGTCTGGGAATCCGAATGTTAGCCACACACCATCTGGCTCTTCATGAAGAAAATGTATGTCTGACTGCTACATGAATTAGTATTTATATATAGACTTTGTTGCTATATTTAGCAACTTTCAGAGCTCTTCTAGGACTTTAAAAATAATAAGTGACTTGTGACAAATCCAGAGATTTTTTTTCTGTTATTGAGACTTTGCCAACAACCTCTGACTTGCCACCAGAGGGCGTGTGTCTTACTGATATGATTTTATACCTGAATGGTTGTGTGACGGAGTTGCACCATCGTTACCAATAGAAAAATTAAACTGCAGTAAGCCACCATTCAACCCAAAGACGGCAGCACTGATAAAGTTTTTACCAAATATTGCAGAATTTAAGAACAAATGTCAACAACAGCGTTTTAGGACCATTGAACATAGGGAAAAAAAGAGGAGTAAACTTCTGCCAAAAGTAAAAAAATGTTCGACTTTTATAAGATTAATCTCAAAAATTTCTGCTTTTCTTTAGCAAATTTTTTGACTTTTCAAACTCAAAAATTAACTTTTTTAATTCGCTGTCATACAATTTACACAGCAACATAAAATAGCGCCCAATTTATACAGCTTATCTCCAAAGAAAAGGTTGATATGGGGTTTAGGCTACAGCGCATATGAGGGAGTAGTTTTGGTCTCGGATCTACATTTTGACAAAAACATAAAGTCAGTTAAAAAACATCACCAGATTAAAAGTTCTCCTTTATTTCCAGTGCACTGCAGCTGTGTTTGCTATAAAAAAAATCAACCAGACAGTTTCAGCTCATCCTGTTTCTCTGCTCTAGAATGAACTCCCTGAAAACATGAGATAATCAGAAACATTTAAATCTGGACTGAAAGCATTTATTCTTTTATGCCTTTTAATATCTGTACTTTAATTTTGCTTTATTATTTTTATTTCCTTTGAGCACTTTGGGTTGTGATAATTGGTGTGCTACAAAAAAACACTTACCTTTTCTGATTTTTGTAGTCAATTCTGGTTTGCTAAAGTCTATAAATAAAAACCAATAATTTAAAGAAGCTGATGGTACATCAGGTGTTTTTCTATGACAGGAATGACATTTCTCCCATGTTTGTCTTCCAGGCGGATTTTGTGGGGATCATTTGCAGACGCCTTTCTCCTAAAAAGATCATCGAGAAGTGGGTGGACTTTTCCAGGTGAGTTTGTTTGCTCAGTGCCGTCAGATGAGTTCCTGTTTCTTTCAGTTCTTTTATTGGTAGAGGAAGGTCAGAGGTCAGCTGATAAACACATGTGGATGAGATACGAGCCATCGCTCTGCTTACCATGAGTCTTCCTGTCAAACGGCGCTTCTGGAATCCATCAGAAGCTTCCTGCTGGGTTTGGACCGCTCATCAAAGCCATTCGGAAGATTTTCCTTTTAGAATTGAGGCACAACTCAGTTATTTATTTGTTTTAAAATGCCTTAGTGATCATTTTACTGTATATTTGGTTGAGATGTTTGCTCAGCTGGCAGGACAATTTCGTGAGTGTAAATGTCTTAAAATTTAGCCTGATGTGAATCAAGTTTAAAAATGTGACTTTCCTCATCATCTTTGCACTATTTTAGGGATTCAAAATTCTGATTGGAATTATTTTACAGTTCTGATTTGTGGGTTATATTTATAACAGCATGCAGTATTTTTGTGCTCTGAGTAAACTGAACATGTGCACAAATATTCAACGATATTCAAGACCTGTGGAGTTTGTTGGGAGCAGTGATGTTTATGGAATCTAAATAGTTACTTTTCTTCTGAAAGTAACATTTCAAGAAGAGATTTCTAAAATAGTTTGTCTACAAACAACAACAGTGTTTTGTACTTTTAAGTTATTATTTAATGAAAGACTTTAATAGACATAGTTTCATTGTTTACATAAAGTCAGTTTATGTTAGAAAATTTGTAAGGTTGTTCTTGTTTGTCTTAACACCAACCTGCCAGCAGGACTAGAGGTGGAAATTAGCCACTTGGCTTTAATCTCATGTATTTATGTGCTAATCTTTATTAATCTGTATTGAAAAAATGAACATAGCTGAACATAAATACTAATTAAAGCGTTTTTCCCTATAAAATCAACTTGATTTCAGTTAAAATCACTCATTTACAGTGACAAAGATTTGAAATTGGAACAAGCTGCTTTTCACTACTTATTAGATTTGATTAGATTAGATTAGATTAGATTAGATTAATCTCTCCAGAAAGTTAGGAATTTAAAGTAACTAAAGTATAGGGTTTTTGGTCATTTTTAGCCATTCAAGTCAAAAAGACACAACGCAAAAAAACAAAAAACAAAAAAACAACCAAAAGTGAATATAGAAATAAATAAACAATATTTAAATTCCTGTCAAGGCAAGAAGTCGAGGTGTGGACAGAAAAATGTGTCGGTGGAAGTGAGCCGTTACTTTTTTTATTATTGTGACATTATCAAAATGACAACAGCAACAACAATAAACATAAAAAAGGAAAAAAAAATGTAAAGGGTAAAATGAAACAAGAAAAGACAAATGAAAACACTAAATATAGCAGCAGTGTTATAATACTGCAGGATAGATGGAGAAATGGTCATTGTGGTTCATTCTCTGTGTCGTCGACAGGCGTCTGTGTGAACACCAGTACGGTAACTCTCCCCGGGTCCGGATCAACGGACACGTGGCGGCCCGGTTCCCCTTCATCCCGCTGCCGTTGGACTACATCCTGCCAGAGCTGCTCAAGAACGCCATGAGGTAGCAGACCGGGAATGATAGCAGGAAGGCAGGAGGAATAAAGGAAAGAGGGATTAGTAATGAATGATGTTTGTAGGAAGGAGACATGAAGACTGAAAGATTCAACTGTTTCTTTTTCTCTTCTGAAACTTTAGTGGAAAATATCACCTCCCTTACAGACAATTACTGAAAACTTTTCAGTGATCAGAAGATCCACTGAAAGTGGTTAAAAAAATGCAAAAACATTGTTTAGTTTGATGGTTTTTAGGCTCTAAAAACAGAATAAAGACTACTGAATTGATCTCCTGTGTCTTAAGTCACTCAGAAGTGTTTTGAGTTATTTTTGTTTTTAGGGCCAACATTTCTGTTAGTGTTTTACTTTTTTATTGATGCTCCTCCTTCAGAGCCACCATGGAGAGCCACCTGGACACTCCGTACAACGTCCCCGATGTGGTCGTCACCATCGCCAACAACGACATCGACTTTGTCATCAGGTCAGTGGTCTAAATGCACGAGTTCAACTCTGAGACCAAACGTTGGCCTGCAAGATAAATGTTTGCCAAAAAAGAGGAAACTTGTGTCTTGCATTAATGTTCAGCTAGGTGGACTTTAACTAGGCCATTCCAACACCTGAGCATGTCACATGTGGTCACCCTGCAGGAAGTTGAACTCCGATTTTATCGTCCTGTGTTTGAACTCAGGCATCTTCTCGACTTCCCTATCCCTGCTGATAAACAATCATCCTCTCAGACATGAGTTCCCAAACAGCGTTTAGCTTCTGACCGCACAGTCAAACGCTATAAGATATGTAAAGAAAGTTTGACTTTTACAATGTTTTTTTTCTCTCACTTTATTCTCTATTCAGTCATTATTACATTCATGCTGCTTCATAACTTCTGATTTTACTTGGCCAGTATCAGGTGTTAAATTATGACTTTATTAATCTTAATTAATTACCTAATAATTTTTCATCACAATCCCTTGCCTTGATTATATGAAGATATGTCATATTTTATACCAATCACACATGAAAGTTTGAGCGTTCCTTAATGGAAATGAATGGATGGATGAAATGAATGAATGGATGAAATGAATGGATGGATGGGGTTTTCTTATTTTTGCAATCTCCCCAACTTTCTGAAGCTCGTCTGGCGCCCCCTAGTGACGCCTACTTTAAAGACACTGCCCTAAGCAGAGAGTGTAGTCAATATTTTTGCTTTTTTCCAAAAAATATTGGCCTTTATGCGGAATGCACAACTAATATTTGCCATCACAACAGTTTGTCTCAAGCTGTTTGTCTGAAACGTCTCCCTGCTGACCGTCTGCTGGGCTCCTTGGTCTTCATGCTGCTGGTTGTTCTTTAAAGGTGAAACAGAACTGCTGCATAAAAGGGAGTGAAATAAATCTGAGTTACTATGTTCCAGTTTTTATTTTCCTCATGTCTTTTTGCTCCCCATTGATACCCTCTTGGTTAGTCGAATAAAATCCCCCAAAATCCATGAAAGTTAGTAGTTTCAGCACCGTAGAAAGAGGAATATCTACAAGTTAGGAGTAGTAATTGTCCTAACCTGACATCTAACCTGGCCTGGTGACTCCAAACAGCAGCTCTGCTTTGCACAAATGCTCAAACTCCGTTTAAAACCGAAGTACTAACGGAACCATTAATTTACGTACCATCTTACCACCAGTACATCGTTGTATAGAACGGTACATCGTTTTACCTGCAGTGGTTTCCTCTGGTGACGGTTATGATTTGTGTGTGTTCAGGATTTCAGATCGTGGCGGCGGCATCCCTCACAAAATAATCGACAAGGTGATGGATTACCACTTCAGCACTGCCGAGGAGAGCGTGCAGGACCCCCGCATGAGCAACCTGTTCAACACCATCACTAACAGCGGGAACCAGTCCAGCCCAATGCACGGGTAAGAATGGGACCTGCAGATGCACTCTTTCTTCTTTTTTTACATTCGTCACTAATCTGGCCGTTTTTTTTTTTTTTTTTACTCTTGTAGATTTGGTTTCGGCCTGCCCACATCCAGAGCCTACGCAGAGTACCTCGGCGGCTCCCTGTCTGTACAGTCCATGCAGGGCATCGGCACCGACGTCTACCTGCGTCTGCGCCACATCGATGGCAAAGGAGAAAGCTTCAGAGTGTAAAAGTGGCTCCCTGTAGGTCCAAACGAAGGAATCAGGCCACAATAGAGGGTTTTCTTCCCCACGCGAAGGCAGGCAGAGATGAGGTTATATGTCTGCTGAGTGGCAGCCTTCAGATCGCTCTGTCAGATCTTCTTTGTTTCGCCTTTTACTGATTATAAGCTATGTTAGCTCTCGATTTAATGATTTCGGTTGTCTTTTGTGTTTTGCACCCTTTGGCATGTCGTCTCTTAAGATTTGTCGGTTCATGAATTCTTGAATGTTTTTGTTTATCGGGAACTTTCTCTTAAAAGAAGAACTTCATCATTTAAGAGATTCACGTTGATGTTTCTTGTTTCGAAACACTCCCAGTCTGTCAAGGTCAACTCACAGGTTTCATGAATCATTACCACATTTAGTGTTTTTTTTTTTTTTTCTTCTTCAAAATCTAAAGCCTACCACGGAAAAATGGTGAGAGTCAAAGCAGTAAATGAGTTCAGACCACTTCGTTGGAGTTAAAGGAGTTTTGGATCTTGTGACTTTAATAAAAAACGCAGATGAAACGTAAATATTCAAACTGCCAAAACTCAAGTTGCTTTCAGTCTTTCTGCTTAGAAGAATCTTAGATCTGTTTTCTGGACTGGAGATGTTCATCTGCCTTACTGTGCAACTAAACTGCATGATGACTTTTTACTTCTCTTTTTTTTTATTATTCTACTGTCTGATGCCTTCATCGGTTTACACAGATGCACACAGTAGCACATCCGTTTGTTGGTTTTCCACTATTAGTAGATTTTGTGTGGTAATGATTGTCACAGCCATTTTTGACATTTCTGGAACAACTCACAAGCTAACAATATACCAGAGAAGTGTTTAACTTCTTCTTTTTCTTCTAAGTGTTGGAGTTTCGTTAAAAGTTTGTGGTCTTTGAGATAGGTTTCCATTTGATCATGTTTATGAAAAGCTAACCAACTGAGTTTGTTGCACTATAATACTTTTATGTTTTTGTTTTTTTTTGCTAATTTGCATTCATTCGTTCAAGTAGCAGCTTGAGTCAGTCAGGTTTCCAGTGAGGGTGAAGTGTGCACACCTCCAAATTGGGCATACGGTTGCTGGGAGTCCAGTGGAAATAATCAAATTCTCCATCTCCTGCTCTTAGCTCGTAGAGTTTTAATACAGTCAAACTTCAATTCTCAGCCTTGATTGGATCTGCGAGCCCTGCCAAAAAACATGGAAGGTTATGAATATTGTTGATGGAACCCTGTATCTGCATTGTCTTATTATGCTGATTCAAAAACACTGATTGTATTTGTTCTTCTACAGTATGGACTTAACTGGTTGGGGTACAGAAATCTCTCATTTAAAGGAAAGTATCACAGACATAAAGCGTCATAAGGCAAATAAAGGTAGAAAACAGAAGTTATTAACTAAGAGCTCACTAAAACAATGTTTTAATGTTAGATTTAGCAGATTTTCAACATCTGGTCTCAAAGTTGGGAGGGAAAAGAAAACTAAGATGGCTACGTTGTGTTCTTGAATGCACAAAAGTGACTAAACTTCCCCCCTTCAGTCAAATAAATGGTTAAAAAGCCTTGATTCATGTGGTTTGGAAATTTACAACATAATAAACACTATGAGCACTCCCATGATTGTGGCGAACATTCCCCCAGAGTGGTGCTGTTGTTATGCAGCAGATCCTCCTGAATGCTTCATTTACATTTTCTTTTTCATGTAGCAAGACTTCTGATTGCTGCATTCACTGTCATCCTTTAAATGTGAAAGGGCGTCAGGAACCCAACTTAATCCCACGTTTGCAGCTTTCCACAGTCTAAAAACTCTCCATAGTAAAGTTTTTTTTTTTTTTAATAACATGAAAACCACAAATAAGATGCTCAAATATTTTTGATTAGCAGCTTTACTTGCTGTCAAAATATATCCTGGGTATTTGTAAAGTTTACACACAGACATTTAAATTAATTGTTGGCTTGTGAGGTGTTGCGAATGTATTTTATTTGTAAAATAGAAAACATTTGCTTTCATTTTTTAAAAGGCTGCAGTATTTATTTCTCACCTGATTATTAAAAAAAGAGATCATTATCAGTACCTACATTTCTTGGTTAACTGGTGTATATGAACTAATGTTTTTATTGTAACTCCGAAGGTCTTGGAAGTTATAAAGACGGGGGGGGGGGGGAAATGTAGCTTAAGCCTATAAAGCATTAATAGTTTATTAGTTTCCTTATTCCAAAATATTGCTGGAACAATGTTGAAGGGAGGGAGATTTTCAATTTGACGGTGCCATAAAATGTGCACTGATGCCCTCTGCTGGTCTGAAAGAGTTATAGCAGGGAGAAAACGTTGAAGATAAAAAGGCTATTTTTTTTCTTTTCCTATTTTCTTTTTCATTTTGGAATCGGTTACTAGATTTTTAGATTAAAATAAAAGATTATTTGAGAAAAGAGAGTTATGTTACTGAAAAAAATATGCTGTCATGAGGAGTTTTGTCTTCTGGACTAACGCTGGTTTCTCATGAATTTTGTTTTGTTCAAGATTTTGTAGAAATTAAATTTTGCCTGTTCACATCTTTGACTGAGCTTTCTTGAACACATACTACAGTGTGATTTCACATTACATGCATTATCTTTGGATAGTAAAATATGATGTTCATTAGTCTGACATACATGCTATTGTAAGACCCCCAGTGTAGTACGGCATTCCATGATGGCTTTCCTTTATAGCTCCCGCCACGACAATTTAGCTGACCTTAATATTTTCCGTGTTTTATTTTTGTCATTATTGTTACACTTAGTGTTCATATGTGTGTGATGGACATTTCTAGAAATACGGAACAAATCGTGAACCGTACATTTAACAGCCAAATACAGGACTATTCCGTATTTGAATGGGACGGGAGCAACCCTAATTATAAGTCAACCTGCCAACGGGACTAGACATGGAAATTAGCCACTTAGCTGTAATATATTGTATTTACCTATAAATTTTAATATCTAATGTCCCATTTTTAAAAAAACGGATTTCAAACAACAAAAAAAAGAGTAAGGTTCCACATGCAGTAAATGGGCCTACTGCACGCGATCTACAATTATTCATTTAGCCTTTGGACTAAGAATTTCTTTTGCCGGTTGATGTAAGTTCAAGACAGTAAAATGATGCTGGGATTATTTCTGATGCATCTTTTCCACGACTATCGGTTCCACCCTTTGCCTCAATGTCGACTTCTCTGTGACTGAACAAAGTCGTCACTCAAGACAAAGAAAACATTGACCTTTGTTTTATTGAACGGTACATTCCAGGTTCTGACCCGTGATCTCTGCAGAACCCAGCAGGGTCCACAGACATGAAACAAACGGATTGAGTTACTGATGACTTTACAGAACAGACAAATAGAAAAAGTGCACTTTTGTTTCTTCTGAGAACAACAAAAAAGAAAAATTAAATAAAAATGAACTGAGCGGCACTTTGGTCTGTCATGTACTTTATGGAATGTGACAATAATTTGGTTCATGTTCCTTAAAAAAAAAGATCAAATAAAATTTAAACAGTTCATCCAGAAAACTCAAGGCAGTTTTTCTGTAAGGCAATAGGAACAAGGTTCAGATATTGAAGCATTTCAAACAGCATCCAGGCAGGTTTGTTTCCTTTGTAACAGGCAACAGAAGAAACTTTCAGAAACTATAAAAGCACAGTGAAGTCAGTCAGCTGTGGGATAATTTAATGCAACTTTTAAAAAAATATTTAAACTTATCTGCTCTGAATCAGTCAGCTAGCAGAACCAGAGGAGAAACACTCAACTGATGATGATGAGAGACCAGGAAGTAAACATTTCATTTTCAGAGAATGAAAAAAATGAATCTAAATTATTCACGACCCGCAATCATTTCTCTAACTTTGATGATTCTGACTTACAGGAAATAAAAACCCACAATTCGCTTTCTGAAAATCTAAAATCAGACCTTCCTGAAAAAGAAAATGGCTGTTCAAAGACTGGTTTATCCACGCAAGTTGAAGTAAAATTAATTGGAAGGAAAAAGACTGGAAGTTGGGTTATGCTTACTGCATTTTTTTTGTTTGTGTCTAAACCACTCCAAAACCAGAAACAACTACTACAAGGAAGCTTTAGAGCACTTCATGCTTGAAAATAACAACAACAAAAAAACTTCTCTCATAGCTTTAAAACATTCTTCTGGTAAAATTGCGGCTTTATTCTGCTAATATTCTTGTAATTTATAAAAAAAAAATTATTATATATCCGAGAAGGAATTATTGAAATAAAAGCAACCATACGAAATTATTTCCTGTCATTTGTAATTTACTTTAAAAACAAATCAGAATTCAGATCTGGTACAAAAAAGTCCAAGTTGATATTTTAATTTTGAGAAAGAGAACTTTGGGTTTTCATTCTCTGTAAGCAGAAATCAACAAAATGAGCATAAATAAACCCTTTTTTTGGGTATGAAATTGTTCTACATTAGTTTTTAAGCATAATGTAATTTACTGAGATGCCGTTGTAACTATCTGCAGGTGTGCAGAACCAGAAACGTTACTGTTAAATGGGTCACATGTGACTTAACTTTACCGTCCGACTGTTACTGAAATAAACAAACGTCTCCATCAGAGAACGACGCAGCAGCAGAAAACCAAACGGATCTTTATCCTTCTGGGTTTACGCTGCACGGCGCCCCCTAAGGGACGTTATTTAATTTGCGTTCCCTCGTAGTAAATCAGCAGATAAACTCTGGTCTATTTTGTAACAGATGTCAATTTAAAATTTTAAATGGGACACATTTACATCTTTAAAGAACCTCAGTGTAAACGTCTTAATACATTCTTAACTCTTTAGTGCAGAAACTAGTTAAAAATTCATATTTTAATTCATGTTCAAGTTTGTTTTTGTAGGACAGCAGATAAAAAGTCCCTTAATGACTAACATGAAAAATACACAACCACACCTGAAAATAACTCTAACATAGTCTAAATAATTTGGATTTATTGATTACTAAAAGTTTCTGATGTGTTTATCCTTTAAAGTAGAGATTGAAACTTCATGTTTGACCTGTTTTATTCTGGCATTTTGCACATAAGTTTGAGGTGTTTCAGCTTGTATAAAAAAATATATATATAAAAACTTCAGAGATCTCAAAGGAGATATTAACATACAAGTAAATGTCTTACTAGTAGCAGAAAGACTTTTAGTATTCAAGATGCTGCATGAAACGACTAGTAAAGACATTATTGTGTGATGGCGTGTTAGTGCCTTCGTAGACAGAAAAAAAACAAGAGTAAATGTTAAAAAAAAAACAGAAATTTTTAGATTGATTTTAAAAATTTATAGAAAAAAAATGTGGAAATTTCTGAATTCAAAAAGTCAAAAATTTGCAAGAGAAAACTCAGAAATTTTAAGATGAATCTCATACATTTTCTAGAAAATCTTGGAGATTTTTGAGTTTCAAAAGTCAAAAATATTTGCCTTCCGGAAATATTCAGTTTCAAAAGTCCCTAAGGAAAAAAAAAAAAAAAAAGTTGCACACGCAGTAAGTAAATGGGCACGTTATGGAAGAGGAGGAGGTTCAATTTTTGGAAATTCCAGAAGTTCCAAAAGTTGAACATTTATGACTTTTGAAACCAGGAAATTTTCAAGTTTTTTCCTGAAAATTTCTGAGATTAATCTCAACATTTTGAGTGTTTTGGCACTAAAATAAATTTACTCTCTTTTTTTCCATCTACAATGTCCCCAATACGCCCTGATATTATTAGAAGAGATCGCAAAAGATAAAAATTCCTCCATGTCCCCTGGAGGGCACCGTCATTTTGCACACCACGGAAATGTAACATTGCTTCTGAACAGAAGAATTGCTTTGGCATCACTTTTTCATCACAGATTATGGTTAATCCAACTAAAAGCCCACCTGACTAAATGAGAACTCTCTTTGGCTGAGCGGGAAAACTAGGTTAGTTCGAATAGAAGCTGCAAGTCAAATCCTGAAAGATTCCACTGATAAGAAGAGATGAAGACAGGAAGGTGCTCATTTCCAAATGAAGCTACCGTTGTAAATCAGAGGCAAAGTGCATTTTGGTACGGAATAGCCCTTTTTGTTGTCTGTAAACTTTTGATAGTTTTGACTTCAACATGCCTGCAGATCAGGGCAGGATTCCCAAAGCGTTCCCTTTAGAAGAACTTGGCAGACTGAGGCCCGGCTCTATAAATATCAAATATGGCGGAGTCTGTAGCGCCACTGTGAGTACTCTCCTCACACCATCTGCAGGCCTCTCTCCTGGCCGTCCAGCTGCACCTTGATCTTGTGCAGTTCCTCGATCTCCTGGTGGTGGCGCTCCGTCTTGTGGCCCACCAGGGAGCGATAGAAGTGGATGGTGAAGATGAGGAAGATGATTCCCACCGGGACCATGATGATAGTGGAGGCCAGCGCCGCCTGCCAGCCGCCACTGCCACTCGCCGGAGCGCTGGTGGGGCACTCCTTGGATCCACAGTCGACGGGCAGGAACTTGATCCAGCAGAGGAGCACGACCTCGGCCAGGAACAGCAGGATGCCCAGCGCCGTGGAGAACCCCCAGGCCAGCTCGATGTAGTGGTGCATGCGCTCGTGCGGAGACTCGCTGACCGAGTTGAGGTTGTGGATGTTGCTGACGGCCTCCACGTTGGGCAGGATGCAGGTGCTGATGAGCAAGGCGAAGAGGTGAACGGCCACCAGCACCGTGGTGCACACAGCGAAGGAGATAAGCAGCTCTCGAGGGTAGCTGTACTTCATATCCAGCTCCACCTCCACCATGGCCACCTGCAGCACAAAACCCCGTAAGAACAAACTTCAGAGTGAAGACGCATCGATCCGATATGAATATCTGTATCAGCCCTGATACTGAAAAATAATCTATAGCGGGTTAGAGGTTGGCAATATGGACTTAAAGTTTTATCAGTACATTCCATGGTATTATTGTGATTAAAGTGGAAATAAAAACATTTTATTACTGCTCTTTTAGGTAACTGTATGGCTGCGACTGTGTTACAGCGATTATAGTCCCCACAAACACAAATGGCGTTACTAGGACTTTAGGACACCATTCACATCAAGAAATATTATTTGTATCACTAAACTGTAACATTAACTGGAATTGATCATATTTTCAAATGTATTAGTATTTATTAATACTCTCATTTGAACAAACAGTGGAGAAAATAGTAAAACTACAAATCCCAACATTACACATGTTTTTAAAGATTTTAAACATCATGATTTGGAATATACTATAACTATGAATCAAAGTTCTTACTGTGAAAAGATGTGAAACATATCACAATAAATAGTAAACGATACGATACATGCCCACCCCCAACCTCCAGTACAAAAACAAAGCCACAAAGCAGAAACTTGCAACCATTTCCTGTTTCAGGGATGAGTGGTGAATCAAAATGTTTTCTAGTCTTTAAGTCCACACAAAAACACACTTCCTACAGAAGGGTTTGTTTTTTTTTTTTTTAGATGTACCATTGCAAAGCCAGAGAGCAGGGCGGAGGTACGGCTGCTGGCCTTCAGCTTGGCCCGGCTCAGGTAGAGCTTCCTCCAGGACAGGGCCTGGACTGAGTGATGGTTGGAGCTGACCAGCTCCAAGTAGCTGCGCCGCACCCAGTCCCTGTAGTCCATGCCCCCGTTGTCAGGAGGCGGCGGCTCAGAGACCCCGGGGGCCGGGGAGCCCATCTGCACGCTCAGCTCCCGGCTCATGGTACCTGGAGGATAAAAACACAGAAACACCGTCATCAATGCAGCTTCATCACCTTTATTTACCCAGTGGTTTCAAAATGGAGGACAGATATTGGGGAAACATGAAGAACAAAAAAGAAAAAGAAAGATCATTTAAGATTTTTTTTTTTATGATATTTGTGAAGCTTCACAAATGTTACAATTCATCTGGTTTGGAGATTGCATAAATGCATTTTGTTATGGGAATGATAAATGCATGTTAAATGATAAAATGATAAAACATACAGTAAAAAAATATGTCTAAACTTCCTGACCAGTTTAAATACAGTAAGTTATCGACAAACTGGAACAAAAAACAAAATTGTCATGATTTTTGGTAACGGGAGGATCTGTCTAACGACTGCTGTCCCTATGAAATGACGGCACTCATTTTAATTTATGCAATTAACTGATTTATTGTTTGCAACTTATATTGCTAACTTAATTAGGCAGGTTTATACAAACTTTTATCTTCTTCCTGCCGTCTTCTCACTTGTGTTGATTATGTTTGAAGATCAATGTTGAAATTTGTTAAATCAAGTGAATAAACTGATTGATTTTCACTTCACTACTAATCACTTCCATGTGTTGCTCAATTAAGATGTGAAGTCTGCAGAGATTGAAGGCTTCAACCCAATAATAAGATATGAACAACTGACAAAAATGTTGATAAAATGCACTAAAATTAGTAAAAGGAGGAATTTATGCAGCATTTTATCCCACGGTCCTCTGGCCCACGGCAGAGTACTGGCATCTGAACACCAGCAGCTATTTTTGACCGTCTCCCAGCAGTTTTGCAGTCTGTGTTCTCCTGTCAATCAGCTGCTCTAACTCCAAGTTTCTATTCATGTCATCAGTAAAGACCTAAAATATTCCCACAGTCCTCAGTTAAGCTTATTAGGACACAGAGTCTGTATGTCGCAGGAATGTTTGACTTCAAGTTGCTGCTTTCTGAAATTCCAGAAGAGCCGCCGTGGGAATTAAAGAGGAGGAAACAGGAAGATAAACAAAGAAAAATAAATTATCTTCCAGCAGTACAAATACTGTGACAGGAAAAATTTGAGCAAATTTTTCAAATAAAAAATATATAATAAATATTATTATACTGCAAAACGTTATGCCGTTATGTTGGTGTTACTGTTTTGAATAGAATAAATACAAATAACTTTATTGCCCCCCTGATGTGGAAATTCAGATGTTTGAAAAGCAAAGTGACAGACAGGTTGAAGCATGTAGATTCACACAGAAATAAAAATGTAGAAACAGAAAGTAAAAAAGGAAAGACTGTACAGTCAGGACAAATGTACAGCATAAGAAAAACATAGTATGCCGTTCTCACAAATAGCATACTGAGGCTAAAAGAAAATATGGTACAATTTAGCAAAATATAACCAGCACCCTTTCACGGCCCCACTAGGGATTGTGTATGATAACGGATGGATGGATGATTGAGGGGTGCCTTCATTGCATATATCATTTGACACAAAAAAATTGCACTTTTACAGAATATTATTATGCAAAACATATTTCTTTCCAGTTTTTGATGAATGCTTATATTTCTTTCAATCTTCGCTATTTCTTCACAATCTGAATTTTAAACCCTTAACATTATGGGGGTTTTTTTTTTAAGAAAAGAAAATCTTTTCCACCCAATCACACATCTGCAATCCGGATCAAATCAAGTTTTTGTTTCATGTATAAAGTTGTTTATTAAATAATTCCTCCATTTGAGACCCAAGCATAGAAAACTCACCATACAGAATACATATTTATAAATCCTTGGAGATTTTAAGCCCTTATGTCAGGTTTAGCAAATACAGGCTCTCTTTCTACGTTTGTTTTAGAAAACAAATACATATGATGTTTTCACTCGAGTTTAGTATATTTATAAAAATATATATGCTAATTAGTAGACTCAGAGAAGTCTATTTTGACATAATGACAAAATATCTTCAGCTAGAGGAAAAACAATCAAAGAAAAAAAATTGAAGGGATTTATATATTTGCTGAGAAAGATTTAAACCGCGTTGTCGTGTTTATTCATCAATCCGAAAGTGCTTCCTTGAGTTTGGAGGACAGACAGTTCAGCAGATATCAGCTCCTTTACGCCTTCATGTATATTTAGAAACCTGCTAGAAGTTAGCAGGATACGTTTACAGACTTATATAGAAAGTTAATTAAAAGTACTACAGTTATCTAAGTTCTACCATGAAAACAGAAGAAAGGAAAGCAGACAACTAAAAAAAAATAAAGCAAATACATTTAAGCAGCTTACATTTAAAGATAGACAACGCAAACTCCTCGGTAAGTTGTCAGGCAATCTAAAAAGACTCCTCTTGCTAGCTAATATAGCTAATAACAGAACAGTTTGAAAACAGCAAAATTATCAAGTTTTTGGTGAAATGTATTAATTAAAGTTTATTTTTCTTACCTGTTCACAAAGGTGCCTTCGCAACCTCAGATATAAACTGAACCACAGTCTTGTCTCTACGCTGCTAGAGAAAGTAAAATGTCCCGCAGGTCCGATCAGGGCTTAGTACGTCTTTTTCTGCAGGCAACGACGACCTGTTTTTCTGCTTCTGCAAGTAAAAAAATTCAGGTCTGGAGCCACAGCGAAAAGGCACACTTCCTTCCGCACTGCCACCTGAAACCCGGTCGCTATGGTTCGGATGATTTCGGGTGGGACTGAACAGAAAAGGAAAGCTGCAAAACTCATGGTTTCCGGTTTTGTGTGTTGCTTTCAAAATAAAAGAACACGCAAACGTTGACAAAAACCTGACGTAACGTAAAAGCAGGGGCCTCATTGGTCTGAGGGAACGGCACGTCAGCACCTCCGCCATATTGTAAGTGGCCGGTTTATGGCTGGTGTCTGTTGGAAATAAATACAAACCTGTTTGGAAACAGACTTTTCCAAATAAAAGAAATAGTAATTTGTTTTTTTTAAATACAACAATGAGAAATGAAAGTAGGCAATTAGTTGTTTAGCTTAAGTTGCATTATTATTATTATTATTATTATTATTATTATTATTATTATTATTATTATTTATTATTATTATTATACAATATAAAAACAATTATATTATTATTAATTACTTTATTTTACCTTGGGTGACTAATGAGACTAATGTTGCTTAGTTTGCTCAAGCCTTGGATCAGCAAACTAAAACTAAAATGATCCAAGTTTAGTTTAGATCAAATTCATCAAGTCAGAATGGCCTAGTCAAAGTTAATATTTAAACCCAATAGAGAACCTATGGCAAGACTTGAAACCTGATGTTCACAAGTACTTTCCAACCAATCTGACTGAGATTAAGTTGTTCAGCAAAGAAGGATGCCAGTAATTTCAGTTTCTATATATCCAAAGACGATGGAGACACCCTTTGTAGAACACTAGTGGTTCTACAAAGTATTGACTCAGAGGAGCTGAATATGAATGGATGGCTCAGTTTTTGGAATTTTAGAAGTAAAAATTTGAAAACCATGTATAATTTTCTTTCTACTACACAATTATGTACAACTTTGTGTTGAGCTATCATAAAAAAAAATCAAGACGTCAGGACAGCCAGACAATAATTAATACAGAGATTATTTAAAACATTTATTGAAGATCATCATAAAGTACAAGTGAAACATCTGCAAAAAGGGCAAGAGTTGCTCCATATGTAAACTCCAAAATCTGGATTCAGAGATTTCAGTGATGAGTTGAATTTAAGGCACAGAAACAACACGAAGTCCTCCCAGTTAAAGGGTTTCTACAGCGTTGTCACTAATAACTTTTAAGATGTCATTATTTATTCTAGTGCTGTTGATAACTTTCTGTGAGTTCTAATTTCTGTTTTGGAGAAATACAAAGAGATGATATAAAAGATATATTTAAAAAAAGCCAACAAACCATATTTCTTTGCTGCGCAGAACAAGTTTAGTGTTTTTAAACCTAACGAGCATCACTGTCCAGGGAGCTGACTAAGCAACACAATTATTCAAATTTAAACTGTGTCCTGCAGAACTGAGTCCAAATATTATTGTATACAGTAAACAATACAACCAACCAGTGAAACATATCTGATTTATGAACATTTCAGGACGTTAATAATAGTTTATCTTTCTGTGTTTGTGCATTTAGCAGACACTTTTATCTACAGTAACTACCAGAAGAGAACAAATTAATGCACTTAATATCAGATCTACCAATAAACTTCTCAGAAGGAAGTCCACTAATCAGAAGAGACAGGTGGCAGGCACAGAAGGGAAGTGGAGAAAGTGGTACAATCCTTTTGTGTTTTGATAAATTCATTGTTTTTATGCTCTTTAGGTTTTGGGCTATTTCAGTTAAAGGGGGAGTATTATGTGTCTTCCAGGCACAGAGTGTCAATTTATAGCATAATCAAGTAATATGTTACCTTTGGTTGTTTTAATTTGTAATTTAACGCCTCGAATGTGTCTTTGTGAAAACCCCTGCTCTTTCTGACACTCCGCCTTCAGGAAGTCATCACAACATCGCTCCTCTGATAACCCTTTAACAATGTTTTTCCCAGCATCAGCAGATGCACAGTTTCACCAGGTGTTTGCTAATTGCTGCTGGCTAGTCTTAAGGAGCTGAGTGAGGGAGTGACAGGGAGAGGCAGATGCTTGAAAGCTTGGAAACTGCACCTTCGAGGAGGAGCTGCACTTTGAAGGCGGGGCTAAATCCAACAAGGCATTTTGCACAGCTGAATGGTTGCTATGGAGATTAAAGTATTTCTCATACATGCATGAAAGAATCAAGGCAGCACTCCAGGTATGTTTTTAATGAGGCTATAACTTTATAACACAACATAAAGCTAAAAAAGAGTTACTCTTACATAATATTGTCTTTTCAGTATTATCTCACAGGTCTTGCTGTATTAGTTCATTCCTTTGTGTTTAGTTTCTTAGTTTATTCCTATGTTTTGTTTTTCTAATTGTCAGACCTTTCCCCTTTTGGTTTGCAGATTCTTGAGGCTCTGCTTCTACTGTACATCCCATTGGAGAGTGATAGTGATAATGTCATATTTTTATAAAGTTGAGCAGTTAGTCAGGCAAACATGATTGGCAGCACCTGGCTGCTACGTTTACATTTTGTTTCATAAATACTGAATCTGGGGTTAGATTTAAATCCCTTTAGAACCTCATTAAGGCCCAAATCATTACCATTATGTCCTGAAATGTGAAACCCTTCGGTTTAAAGACGTTGTCGTTTCTTTTACTCGTTACACCAGGAATCCGTTTTGCATATTTACAACAGATTTAAATGTAAAACGTGTCTGATATTGGTCACTAAACATCTGCATTTTTTGGCAATCTTTTGCTTTGCCTGCAAAAAGTCTAATGACTCTGAAGGACTGTTAGTATTTGTTAGGTGAGAAGGGAGAAAGCAAACAGGAAGGATTAAATCATTCTCCTCAGACACTTCTCGTTCAGTTCTTTCCTGTTCTCGATGAGCTTGTATTTGTGCATTATCTATCTAATCACGAGTGATTGCTGTATATATCACATCAAATTTTCTACTCATGTGCAACTCCAAACCAGCAGCCATTAGATACTACATGCTGGTGTGAACCCTACTGTATCAGCACAGAGCGCTCTGCCCGCCATGCTGCCGCTGATGCTGCAGATGTTCGACTCCCAGAGGTTTTTATGGGTTTCCTTCAGGGTTTTACTGGACAGTTACTACTGTGGTGTTGTGAATGGACTCCATCACAGCGGCCAGGCGGCTGCACAGGTCGTGGGCCTGGTTGACGTGAACTTTTGGCGGATCTTTCAACACCACCGTCCCACTGGAGCCGTCCAGAACCCGCGGCAGCAACTCGCCCAACTTTACCTGCAGCGAATCTGCAGAAAACAGAAAAACCCAGCAGAAATGAGCCCTTCAGATGGTAGTTTTTGGTTTCGAATGATTGATTATATAGAGCAATTTCTTACTGGGACAAGTTCTCTTCTGTTATTAAATTTAGTCCTGATTGTATACATTTTAAAAAGAACTTTAAAAAACACATAGAGAATATATGAAATAAGCAAATTTATGCTCGAGATCAAAATTATTGTTTGTTAATTTATTTTTGAAATGGCTGACATTGTGTGTTTTAATTTTGTTTGTATGTTTTAAGGCATTTTGTGATGTTTTCTTGTAATGTTTGTAAAAATGTTATAATTGTTGAAGTGGTTGATTTGAAATTTGTGTTTTGACTTCAGGAGTTTTATTATATATTTTTTTGTAATGTTTGTAAAAGTATGATTTTATTGTAATATTTGTGATGAGACTAATGTGAATCCTTACAGAAACAAATAAACAAATAATTACAATAGTGAAACTTCTCATTATCTTATCATGTTATTGTTAATAACTCACCATCCATGTCCTGACCCAGGCAGCAGCACCAGTGGCTGCGGATGTTCTCCATAGCATCCCGGTCCTCCTGGGACAAAGCCGAGTCCCGGCTCATCAGGTGAAGGCAGGGAATAACGGCTTCGTCCATGATGGACAGACCCTCCTCCACTTTGCCCTCCTCGCCGCTGCAGAACAGCCGGGACGCACTGTCGTTCAGCGCCTGATTGGTGGATAAGCACAGAGAATACTTGGGTCAAGGTTTCCACTTTAATATTTACACAAACATAGTTTTATTCTTATGAAATATTTTAGATGAAGTCAATGTGGAGGTTGAAGAACAAGCTTTGTGTTGGAACTTGTGTTCAGATCCTACCCTGTATGGAGGGTCAAAAGGGGCAAAATTAAATCAATTAAAATGCAACTTATAATCATCAGTGCAGATAGTTAATTAAATAGATATTTATTTATTTTGTATTTATTCCTGCTTGTACAGCAGCAGGAATAATTCTGTTAAAATAAAATAATTCTGTTAAACTCACCCATTAAAGTCAAGGGACGGGGCTGTGGGAGGGGCTTCCACTGACCTGCTGAACTCCACTAGTTTGCAATCAACTCTTCAACTTCTAGACTGTCTGCTAATTGTGAAGTCTCTTTAAAGAACTCATCAGAAAGCTCATAAAAATCCTCCATTACAAGGGCCGCCATGATTTTCAAAGCACGATGATAGACTAGCTAAAACAACAAAAATAACTTCAGCTTCATGGTCCAAATCCATCAAAAATTAAACATCTACCTTAAATGTGAATTCATAAATTGTGTATAAACCACAAATATGTGTATTTGCATATGGGAAAAACTAACCCAGCCTCAGTTCTGCTGCAGAGAAAGTCTAAATAAGGGAATATTATCCCACCAGTCACTCATGTCTAAAGTTCTGCCCTAGAAAAAAAAATCTACTTTAGCAGCTGGCCGAACGCCAGAATATGTCAAATAAAAGTGACGGGTCCCAGCGATGATTTTGATGACCCTCAAAGTTTCCTCTAGTGTAAGCCAAGACCTTTTAGATAAAAAAATATTTAATCAAGTTGCTGTTTTAGGCTGACAACTGAAACAGCTTCGGTTGGAACTGCTGCTTTACTCACCGTGAGGCACTTTCTTCTGTAAACTGCAATAAGAGCTTTGTTCACACCACGTTTCTCTCCCTTTCCCAGCAGAGCAGCGTTGGTCTCATACGCATGAGCCAAGTAGTTCAAAGCCTCTCGCATCCTGTGACACAGTCAGAAAGAAACCAAATAAGCACCAAAAGCCACAGCCGCTCTTTAACTGTGCCTCAAAAATTAGAGTATTGCATAAAAGTGAAATATTTTTTCCAGTC